AAAGCTTTTATATAATGGATTTCCGCAAAGTAACGCTTGATTCTATTAATTAAATTGAATTATCATTTAAATTTTCGTTCAATCATAAAAATTGTTAATATTGTTTTTGATTTCATAATATATACGAGGGCGGCACTGAAAATTTCGGGAATCAAGGAAGTGACACAACATTACTATTTAAAAATGTATTTATTGCTTTTCGAAGTATTTTCCGCGAAATTTGATACATTTTTTCATACGATGGAACCAATCATTGAAGCAACCATTCCATTCGGAAGTTGGGGTCTCCAAAATGGCCGTTTTGTAGGCGTCCACAGCTTCTTCAGGTGATGAAAATCTCTGTCCACGCAATTTATTCTTTATTTTAGGGAAAGTATAGAAATCATTAAGGCTTAGGTCGGGGCTGTACGGCGAATGGTCTAATAATGTTTTCTTGCTCTAAAAACTCTTTTGTTCTGTGTGCGGTGTGAGAACTCGCATTGTCGTGATGGAGGATGATGCGGCGGTTGCAGTTCTCTTTACGGAGTTCAGAAACGACCTGTGGCAAACAAATGCTAGCATACCATTCTGCATTAACCGTTCTTTGTCCCTCAAGAGGAATAGTCGTAACATGGCCGGTTTTGGAGACAAACGTGGCCACCATTTTTTTGCAACACTCCGTGAACGAACAATTTTTATTGGCTTTAACTCATTTTCGAACACCCAAACTCGTGACTGGTTTTTGTTTCGGGTTCGTACGCGTATATCCAGGATTCGTCACCTGATACGATGTTGTATACAGCATTTGAGAATCCTGCGTGGAATCTTTCGAGAGTTCTGACGCACCAAGTAACGCGAGCCGCTTTTTGCTCTTTACAGAGCGAATGCGGTATCCATCGGGAAAAAACTTTTTTACACCTAATTGTTCATGCAAGATTATTTGTATTTGACTCATGCCAATGTCTAAAGTTGCCTGAATTTCGCGGTATGTCACATGTCGATCTTCCTCAATCAGCTTACGCACAGCATCAACGTTTTCTTGGGTGACTGCAGTTTTTGGACGACCTTGACGGGGATGATCACTGAGCTTGACACGTCCACGTTGAAATTCAGCAAACCCGCGATAAATTGTGGTTTCTGATGGGGCTTCATCACCAAATGCAGAAATCATCCGGTTTGTTTTTTTTTCATGTTTTTGTGTTAAACGACTTCGAAAGTCATAATAAATCATCGCTCAGTCAATTCCATTCCAATTCCATTTTCTCAACGACTAAACAAGTTTGACAAAACCTTGTGACAAGACCGAGAATATTTTTTTAAATAAATAAATGGTATTCGATTTTTAAAACCAAGGAGTTTTCAATTAAAAAGATTTTAATATGACAGGAACAGTGGAAATATTTCATTTCCGATACTTTTAGTGCAGCCTATGTACTTTTTACATATTTATCTTTTTATCTTTAATTTTATAAAACACTAGCTGTGCCCCGCGGTTTCACTCGCGTCATCACGTGTCAGAGGTGCGCGACATGACTTAGTTCAAGCATTTTATAATTGTAATTAAATATTTTATTTGATAGCAATGGATGGAAAAATTGGCATAATTAATGGAGTACTTTTATCTGTCGGCATATTATGTATGATGTAGAGCGAAGTTAAGTTTTATCCACTTTCCCTCCCCCTCCCGGTTGAGCAGTTCTCGCAGTTGTCACCGGGCGGCTAGGGTTTATGTGTCGTTCGCGCGCCCTGCCAAGTATTGAATTATTTTAATTTTACATTATCTCTTAAACTATGCGTCCAAATAACATGGTATAAAGAACAAAGTTTATCTTCATAAAATTGTCTTGATGATGAAGTAACTTTCGTTCGTAAAGATAAATAGGCCATGCCTAATAATAACGCTCATAAATCACTTTTAAATGTTCAATATTTTTTGTCACAAAATACCTAATTATGGCTTATGTATAAGAAATGGACATATGGTATCGCGGACTTTTTTTTAGATGGAGTAAAGATCTATATTTTTCTAGAACATTGTATTTACGTATCCCTAACGATAACACCAGCGTACGCGGATAAATCATTTCGGGGGTGCTTTTTCTTCTGACAATTATCCATATTTAAGGCTAGCTGAGTTATATAGCTTAATGCTAAATAGCCTATATATATACTATTCCACATGAATCTAGCTATAATATACAAAAAGAATTTCAATCAAATCAAATCGGGTTGGTAGTTACAGAGATTAGCGCGCTTAAACAAACAAAAAGACAAAAAAACTCTTCCGCTTTATTATATTAAGTATAGATTATATATAAAACATAAACTGTAATCGTGATGTTAGAATAAGGCGTGGACTGTGTTTTAAAAAAATCACTTTATTTATGTACGAGCAGCTATGCAGGTCTAGAGAGACCAGTATCACTGCGACCTAAAGATCTATTGTGATACCTGCTATGTCTACCGTTCACTGCTAAGCCCTACGTCCTCAATGAATGGAAGGAGTTGCTTTGCTTACCTACACCAGTCCTCATTACAAAGGTTTCGTAGGGCTCTGAAAGAGTTCGAGGCAAGAGTGTTATGTGACCCTGGAAAATGGGTTGACGCTAGTAGCACAGCTGTTTCCGTTTCGCTATTAGTGAAGTTACCATTAGGCTTTTTAGGAAGCCCGATCTGATTAGGTCTTGCACTGTGAGGCAAAGATTCAACTTCCTCGCATAGCTTCCTCCACGATGCTCTCTTAGCTTTCCTAATTACTTTATTATAATCGGTTAGGGCTGCTCTATAAATATCCCATTCTTTGGATTTTTTAGCCCTATTGAATAGTTTCCTGGTCTTTTCCCTAAGCTCCTTTAGCTTAGTGTTTCACCAAGGAACTTTTCGTGTTGAGGTCTTGGTTTTGACGGGACCACCTCGAAGGCTTCACGGATACCTGCGGTTACCATCTGCGCCTCTAACTCCAGGACTTCAATCGTTTTTATGCTTTTAGGAAAAGTTTCCAAATTCCTCCTTAGATCTTCCTCTATAGACATCCTAGGAGGTCGCTTTTAGATCCCTAAAAGCAACAGTTTCATAAGTTGGCAATGCCCTAATCACAAGCTTAATGTGTCTGTGATCAGGCATCGAATTTTCACTACTAACATGCCAGTTAGTAATCCGTCTGGATATGTTATTGGTAGCAAAGGTTATATCTAAAACTTCCTGCCTAGCACGCGTTATAAAGGGTGGTGTACCCTAAGTTTAGGCTTACCAGACTGATTGGATATGAGAAAGTCGAAAGGTAACTCACATCTTTCGCTGATGTTATTGTTTCCCCACGCTGTCTAGTGAGCATTGGCATCAAAACCCACCACAAGTTCGGCGTTGTGCTTACGGGTGAACTCCGCCACTCGCTCTAGCTCGATGGCAGGATCTGGGCTCTCTCCGGGAAGATAATCTGAGCAAATGATTACTCTGGCCCCTGTGCATCCTTTGAGATTTATAAAGGCTGTAACCAAGTCGTCATTGCAATGCTCTGGAACAGCTAAAAGTTCAATATTTTCATTGTAGATTATACAAGCTCTGGGTCTACTGCCTTTAGTATTGACTAAGATCTTACCGGCAGCCGACAATCCCAGAACTTGACTGTTGGCCACCCAAAGCTCTTGTCTTGCGGGCGTGGTCAATGTTGTCCTCTGCGAAGCAAACTTCCACCACGGCAGAAGCAGCCGCTGCATGGTGAAGATTTACCTGGAGTACCCTCGTCTTACCCTTGGGGTTAGCCATTTATAGGCGTGAGGGGGGAGGAGGGCGGCAGGGCTCGTTTTACCCTGTTTAGGACGAAGACGTCCTTACTGGTGCTCTCGACCCCCGCCGTGCTTTTAGGTCTACCGTTCCCACCTCCCTTCCCCTTACCCCTGGCCGATACCAGCGGAAGCCTTCGGACCGAGGTGAGATCAGCGCCTTGGGTCTAAGTCACTCTCGGTGATGACGTTCCAATTTCAGCCCTCGAGGTGGAGGACTGGGGGGATTGGAGTTGGGGTGGTTCAGGCTCCATAGCAGCGTCAGAACCTCTCCTGACCTTAAAAGTTATCATCTTAAAGCCAAGGACGACTCTGCCGCTTGCTGCCCAGAGAGCCGTTGCCGATGGGTTGTGCAGAGAAAAGGCACACTGACTGGTTGTGTGTTTCTTAGTTGCATAGTAAAACTTTTAAGCATCTCAAAATTAAATGGTCAGACGGTTTTATCATGTTTGTAATAAATTATGGCCATTTTTTTATATTTTTATGACCTAATATTCTTTGTTATTTTTAAGAAGCACGAAAAATAAAAGATTAAGTATGTACCTTGAGATTCACTATTTATATTATTTTTCTGCTTTCTTGTAGTGAATAGTAGTTAATAGGTTTAAAAAAGAAAATCATGCTTTGTGGAACATTTGTTGTATATTAATATTTAATAATAATAATAATTTTTGGTAGGGGAATGGTAAGGACTAAGTTATTGCTTTTATATTTACAACAATAATGCGGCCATTTTTGTTATTAAATTTAGTTTTTAAAGTTTATAATAATTTTGTGAACAAAATGCCTTTTTTTTTTCAATTTTTAAATTTAAATATTTATTGTATTATAAATGGGAGAAGCAATTTGGTCTGGAGGACATTATTATTTTTAAGCCTTCTTATGAATAATTTTAGTTACTTGGCTTTTCAAGGATACTGCTGCGTAAAAGATTTAAAAAATACCTAGTTTGGAATGGAGATCAGCATTAAATACGTGTGCATTTCTATTCCATATCATTCCGTAGGTATTGTAAGAGGCGACAGAGGGAAAACAATTCAGATGGGCAGTAGCTATTTTTTTTAATAACGCCCTGAAAATAAAAAACCGGTTGCCAACTCACGTGCTATGCGTGGCAACTATGGCAATGTTCTCGTATGCCCTATAGGCCTTATAGGTGCCCTATAATTAATGTATTTATAAAGGAGTGTTAGCAGAGGTAGAGTAAGTGGCGGCGCGTGGTGCGTGTTCGTGTTGCAGCGTACGCGGCGCAGTGGGAGGCGCTGCTGAACGAGCAGCTGGCCGTGCTGGCGCAGGCGCGCGACCTGGTCACCGAGTTCCGCTCCAAGATGCAGCACGAGGAGCACGTGTCGCGCCGCATGCAGCCGCACTAGCGCCGCCTAGCGCCGCACTAGCGCCGCACTAGCCGGGTGAACGTGCACTACAACTGCACTTTGAGACTGCCCTCGTTATTTTAGCCCTGAAACTATCGGAACACCGACCGACTTTAACCACGCTCACTTCTAGATACTTAACTGTGGAAATTCGTAACATTTTGCTTTTGACCTTGATCCCGTTGATTATGTCGGTAAGGTTTATGTTAAGAGTGTGAGATATCCGTCGTGAGCCCGTGCAGTTCAGCTCGATTAAGATGGTCTAATTGAATCTCCGGGTGCCTTATATTTTTTTTATATTTACGCGAACACTACACGTTTAATAAAACTATGTTTACGGATTTAATCGCGTTTAATTTTACTTTTTTTTTAATTTTCGTCGTTTCGGGTGCCTGATCACAAGAGATTCCCAGCGCCTGAAACGCCGGAAATTAAAAATAAGTAAAATTATATCAATAAAACCTGTAAAAATAATTTTACTGTCAATAAGTACTGTACTGTAAGTAGGCACATACTACTTTTAACAATCGTTATTTATTAATAGCTTAAAATAAATACTATCACATCTCGTAATTAATTAAAAATTTAAATTTAATTTTAATGTTAAATCAGAAAAAATTACCTTAGTATTTATTACCAACATTATCCAATATAAACGTAGCATGTTGTTTGAATTCACAAGTGAAACTATAAAAAACACTTGTAAAAACTCACGAGCAGTACAAACAAAAAAAAATAGAACATTCTATACGTTTCAAAATTACACCGAAACCGAGACAAAATCATGCTCAACTTAATATATAAACCCACACACATATGCATTTAAAATATTTTGCAACCAATAACACAGTTGTAAATGTATGTGTTCGTCCAGCGATCGAGTTGTATAGACTTATAAAAAAAGATGTGTACGTAAGTGTGGGTCAAGTATTGAGTATATTTTGTATTTGCTTCAGAGTGACTTAAAATGTACAGAATGTGCTGTCTGTTTTTCTTTGCTGATCTGATATCCTAAATTGATACTTCTTTTGGAATTCTCAATGATTGCTTTTATCCAACTTCTTTTAATATTCTATGCCAATGCTTGATTACCACCTGGTGGTAAGTGGTGACGCAACCGAAAACTGTAAAGCGCACATTATAATCGAATCGGATGGAAAAACAGATGCTGACAAATTATTCCACTCCTTTGCTGTACGCATTACACAAGACGAAGCAAACCGTTTGTTTCGAATGCGTGGTATGTCGACAATAAAGGGGTGGAGACCAGCCGCGTGTCCGGTGGTCTGATGATGGAATGGAGGGGGAAGAATTAAGTCATGCAATTCTGATTTGTTTTCATTTTACACCAAATCACATCACATCTCATCAATCGCATTCCTCTGAGATTAACAATTTTTTTATAAGTCGCAGTTTACATGTAGCTGGCCTACATATCCAATTTTAACTTAAAATTGTAATCGCATAGAAAAAAAAATAGAAAACACATTGGCACCGGAGATTCACAATCGGTTTTTGTGTTCCTTCCTCGAAACTGCAGGGGCGTTATTTCGATATAGAAGTATATACCTTAATAGATATATAACTTAAAGATTTGTATACAAAGACATTGTCGATGTAACAAGTGCCGTCGTTTTGTTATGGAATGTAGACTGTTTGTTGTAAATTGTGTTGGAAGCTTGGAAGGAGTTAGTGCCCTTCCGAAATATATGCGAATGACATACACCGAGTGATTTGTTTGTTCAGTTGGACCGTGTTGTACATTAATGTTTCAACCTACAAAAACATAAAGTTATTCAGATTTGAAAGATAAATGCATTTTTCTTGTGGCGGAAGCCCTAGTATATCATGCTATGTTATATCATTTTAAAGAAAGTTGAATATAGATTTTGAGATTACTGGTTATTTTTCAGAACTGTTTCATACTTTTAAATAAACTGGAAAAAGAGTATCTGGATCATTATTTTGGAAAGTATGTGGCTTGGATCATTTCTGCACAACACTGTTCAGTTGATTTGTCATGAGCTGTTCTTTGCATAAATCAAATGATAATCGACGTTCTGAAACTTCGAGCTTCAATTAAATTCTAAATCGATTTTCATTTGGTTTTAGCTTTAGAAATAAATCGACCGTTTTCATTTAAAAATACTAATATTTTATTAAAGAACTGGCATCAATAGAGCTGTTAAAATTTACTTGTCATGTAAACTTTAAACTGTGTAGACAAGTGCGAGCGTATAATATTCTACAAACGCCAATTCGTTTCTTATATTTTGTATTTCATAATTTAACATTGTTTTTTAATGCATTTAATTTGCTGAAGGCCTACTCTGTTATTGTAGATATTTTGCATTAAAAGTTTGGTCGAGTACAAAATGACACTGCGGTGGCCTCGTAATTCCCAGTGATGTGTGCATTGTTTGTGTGACAAAATTAGTATAACTCGCGCGGATAAAGAATGGGTTTATAAATGGCGTCTCACGTTTCACGTCTCACCTCTCGCTTGCACAGTGCAGATGTCTGTACTCACTCCCATCGGTAATAACCACAAAAAATAACGTCATTTATTCGATGCGATAAGAGCTTTTTTTGCTGCTAATTTCAAGCCCGAGTAGCAAAATATAAATGTTCTATCTTTGGTTTGTGAAGTAACAATTATTAAATTACCAAAAATAAACATTATTTGTTATTTGATTTACATCCCTATTTAATATTCAGTTAATCATTTAAGTACATTAATTCAATTGATTTTAATATATGTTCGCTGTGTTTTCCAATAACTAAATATTTTCAAATACTATAAAACAATATATTAACATAACGTTTTAATTAACATAATAACGTGATTTTTAATATAACGATGTAACGTTATAAGCCCCGCTTTCAATTTACGTACCGTGTATGTTGACAGTACGAGACTCAGAGCTCGGCGTGCCGCCATTTTTAATCCCATTCGTTATCCGCATGAGTAGTGGGTCGTGTTTCAAATTAATTAATTAATACTCGTGATGTTGTGAGGTTGTTAGAAATATATATGCGACGAATGAAATTGAGTTGACTCCAATCTTTTGCGCTGCTTTGTGATTAACATATATTCAAAATATTTGTTAGCTGCAACAGTTCACTGATGCGTTTGACATATCTTTGGCTTAATAAGTCGCTTGTTATTGTCGTTCAATTCTATGTACGTAGATTGTAATTTCATGATGAGACTCATAAATAACTGAGAATTATGTAACTTACTCGTCTACGATGTGTGATATAAAATTATATTGAAGTAATAAATTTTATGTTAGATGATACACCCATATTTCTTTTAAACTACATCATGGGTTTGCCAGTGCTTCATAATATTCGCAATTAAATAAGTATTTATTAGCGAGTTATTTTATTTATTTTGTGAACTTTAGAATCTCTTGGCTTACAGGAGCGAACTATGGTAAAATAAGAAATTTGCGATTTATCTACAGTAAGGTGTATTTATGATTGTAAAGCAAATTGGCTTAGAATTCGATAAACCACGTAATATATTTTATATACACATAAATATTGAGTTATTGATACTAGTATTAAAGGGTTATAATAAAAAGGGAAAACCTAATGAGCCGTGAGATTCTAAAACAGCAAATAAGCCCATTGTGATAACCATCCTCGGCTTCACGTTTGACGAATCGTCAAGTGTTGCCAGCCTGCAGCCTTCAATTACTGCCTATTGTAAGGTATACTTTAATAGATCTAAATGATAATATGTAGCCACTAAAAATAGATAAAAATATATTAAAATACATCGTGGTGATATTTCGTTTGATCTAAAGAAAATAGAACCTTAATCAGTAAATTTAGTTAAAATTAGTGTATTCATATAATGTCAACTTTTATAATAACATTGCCGCAAATATTAAATAGCGGCGCCTAAACACGTCCTTTTAAAATACCTACATTAGATTAAGTTGAGTAAATCTAGACTATAAAAGTGACTGTCATATGAATACAGTTTTGACATTAGACCCATACACTTATACAAGTTATTTATAATATGTTGTATTGTCATGTAACGCCATTTTATCGGTTTTTTATTTATTTATTGGTGTGTTTTTTGTCGTGAACGGAATCGGAAAATAAGCTCGAGTGACTTGACTGATTTTGTAAATTGATTGTTTGACTTTGTTTGAGATTATGATATGGTTATTTTCATTTACTCTAGAGTTACATAATAACAATATATATGCAAGGAAATACCACATTTACCGATTTGAGATTTAACGAAACATCGTTTATGTAAATGAAAAATCTGAAAAAAAAAGTATAACTTATTTTATGTAATTTTTTTTAAAGAAATAATGTTGGAGAAACTATTTGAATGGTTAAAGTAAGTGTTTCGGTATACGTATCGCGTAACGTGCATCGGTGAAATAAATTTCTACACACACATTAATTTATATACGAACAAAAATTGAAAAACTTATAATTTTGTAAAAAAAAATGAAAATGTTAAGAAACAAATTTTAGAAGGCCGTTTATGTTGTCGTTATTTTGAGATATTAGGATTGTTTGATAAAACTTTTTTGACGATCAACCAACACAATTTTATTTTTCTTTCAGTTTAATTTTGACAATGCATGAGATTAATAAATGAGAATTTTGATATTAACAGTATTAACAAACTGACGATTTCTTGACAGTAGTGTATTAAATCACTGAACTTCAAAGAGAAATATATACTTAGCATTACGTGTGTTTAATTTTTACAAAATCGTAAATAGTTCATGCGGTTTTAGATCGGTTATTGTGTTACATAATAGTATCAATAATTCCTACATTTGCAAATCGGCATAGTCCAATAAAAATAATACAGGTGCTATATAAAATTATCACAACTTTCTTAATAAGGTCCGATTTTAATAATTTGGTTTGTAAAGTTACCTTTAAATGCGCTTGTTTTTTTTTTAAATGGCCTCCGTCGTGTCTTAGTAAAATGAAGATTTAATAATACTTGCTTT